TGTTAATTCATATTTATCTAAAAACATTAGACGGAGTATTTCAATTTGTCAAGAGGATGTTTGCAAACACCCAAAATTTTTTGTATTTTATTATCAAATGGAAAAAAAAAAGAAGTTAGTTAAATATTAAGGGTCAATATAATTTTTTATTTATCAAGTTTGTCTCGTTTTAATTTTAGTCTCTCAAACTTCGTTTTATTTAAAATATTAATTTCTGTAATTTAATAAAAATTTGAAATAATTTACTATTTAAAGGATAAAAACTTATAACTTAAAATATAAAACATCAAAATCAAAATAAGAATAATTTTAAGGGATCAAAGATTATAATAATATTATATTAACCCGAGCGTTAAATTCTAATCAATGTGATTCCACCAACTCCTATTCTTCTGCTTTTTTGGCCGGTGCTTCGATGGCTATAACACAATCATTAAAAACATCTTGTTCCTTTGTCGTTTGGTTTTCGATTTTGTAAGAAGCACCATTTCCATAAGAAAATTTTTTTTAAACTAGTGTTTTTATTTTTACTTTTATATATGTCATTTATTATCTTTATGTGATAAATTTTTGCGGATTATTTCTCATATACTTTCGTTACAAATAACAGTATACGTATCTTGTATGTCAATAGCTTGTTGCCTGAACAGGAACGTCACTTGCCATGCGCCCTTGATATGTATGAATCTCTTATTTTAAAACTCTCTCATCCTTGTAAGAAGTAGAACTGTAAAAGTGAAACATTATCATTAATTATCCCATCGAGCTCTTATATTTTAGACCAAATTTTTTAATTTTAGAAAACTTCTATTTTGGACAATTTTTTCTTTACATGCCCATATATAGCATGTTATGTTTGGGCTAATTTGTTTACATTTTTTTAATTAAAAATTCACTTATTTTTCCCCCCAGATAATCACTCATAAAATTTTTTATCATATTTGTTAAACTTTTAAAAATAATCGGAATTTGAAAGAAGAATAAATTATAAGAGAACCTTGAATGAACAAAGACATTATAAAATATAAAAATAATTAAAAATATATTTTTAATGAACAAAAATTCCCAAAGATATCATATATAATATCTTAGGGGCTGTTTGGCTATCATCCTAAACCATGGTTTGGGGCCCAAACCATGATTTGAGAAAAAATCAGCCAAACACCCTGAAAAAAAAAATCCAAAACCATGGTTTGGGGACAAAACCATGGTTATGGCCCCCCAAAACCATGGTTTTAGATTAAGCATCTCTGACTTGCTTCTTGCACAAATTATTTGATCGTTGGTGGTGGGCTCAGGGGGTATGACAGAGAACAGGCCTCAATTATTTGCCATTCTTTCACTCTTCACTCTCAGTCCTTCACTCTGAAGAATAACATATTCATTTTCCTATAAATATATATACATATTATTTATTTATTATTTACATTATTTATGTCTTATTTATTATGTTGGCAAAATATATATTAGTAACAAATTTATTACTTCAATTAAACATATATTACAAAATATATCTTTTATGTAATTATCATTTAAACTTATATCCTTTTTAGTAATTCTACATATAAAAAATCACTTCTAACAACAATTATCCAAACACTCTCACTTTATCATAATCACTTTTTCATAAAATCTATTCTCCTAAAAAGTTATTCTCCAGAACCTATTCTCGAAACCATAGTTTGAGCTTATCCAAACACCCCCTTAAAATTACTAATAAATCGTTTTTTATAATCGTAATCGAACACAATAATTTCTGCTTTTTATAAAATCCCAGCACAATAAATTACCTTTTATAAATTTCTAAAACATCTGAAAATGACTTACTATTTTTTTTTTCCAAATTGAAACAAAGGGATTACCGCATGTTTGGATTGGAGAAAATGTCCAGAGGAAAGGAAGCATGAGAAGAAAATCAAAATATGGGAGGATTATGGAGTTTTCTCTTGTTAAGAGAAGGGAATAAAAGTCAGAGTAAGGAAAAAGAAGAGAGAAAATGTGGGTGAAACCCACCACATTTTTCCTCAAATTTTCTTTATAAATATGAAAAGACGTTGGGAAAAAATATTCTTTCACTAAGCGTCTTTATTCACGTCATCTTCTCCCTCCAACCAATTTTATTTAGTGATCTTCACAAATAATATGGAAAAAAAAATCATTTCTTTCAATTTATTTTTAAATTTATACAAATATGAAAACTATATTTTAAACACACATCTTTGAGTTTGTTTTCTTTCAATTTATTATTTGATCCTCAAAATATGTTTTTAAACATAAAAAATTATTTGATTTTAAAATATACAAATATGAAAATATATTATCTTTAAATATTTTTACCTGATGGATAATATTTATATTTGTATAGTTTTGTTGTAAACCATATGAAATATCATGAATCTAGTTACAACGATATTATTGTCAGCGTCATGACATTTGCCCATTTTCTTTTACCCCTTCATCAAAATAGGTAGGGTGATAACATTATTTCTTAAATCTCATCTTCTTCCATTTTCTTTCCTTCTAATTTTTCTTTCCATTTAAATAGAGCATTAATGAAAAGGTCCGTGACTATTTAAGCATAAAGTTTTGGCTTGAATGTGTGCACATAAGACATATGTTTATTAAAAGTTAGAATTGAGTGTTAATTTATATCAATATAAAAGACATCTTTTAAAAAATTAGATTAAAGCATGCGTGAATGTAAAAAAAAAAATGTTTTTGAATATTTTGGCTGAAAACTTTGACAATGCTCCAATTGACTCCACAGTAGGTGTGTATGTCTACATATATATATGTATATATATATATGTATGTATGTATATATAAACTACTATTTGCATGTAATTTCAAATATTTTAATTGAGACACCCCTGTGGTCAATGATACACCTAAGTTTTCCTTGACCATTGGTGATTATTTAAACAAAGGGATTTCAAAGATCTTCATTTCATAGTTTAATATTAATTGGTGGCATATATCACACACAGCCAACTTTTATCTTGAAAGGCCATGCTTCTATATCTCCTGGCCATCTATGCTAATTGCATCTGATACCAAACCCTCTCGAAAGACGAACTTCCTATTTTCGACCACTGGACTCGCATCTGAATCTGATACCCTCATAATTTATTATTATTTTTCTTAAGAGGGGGGGGGGACTTGTTCTCCCACTTTTTCTCTCTCTTTCTTCCTCAAGATCTCTTCTTGATGAGTCCGAGATTCATATAAGATAAAAGCAGACCGAAGACCAACCGAGAAAGTTAGTTCAAACCCCCATTGTTGCTGATTCAGATGAACTTTTCTGCTGCATGCATATGCATGTTGCTGAAAACAAGCTTATTTCCTTAAAGATGAGCTTCACAGAACTCGATCTTCTCCATCTTATCTTCAATCTTGCCCAGATAGTTTCTTAGATGGTCACTGATATTTGTTTGCATTTGCAGATTTTTCAATAGAAGAAGAAAGAGATCAGATAGAAGAGATAAGTGATGATCCAATAGTGCAAGGTGTGATTCTGTCTGAGATTTCAATTTTGAGCTTCAACTTAATTAGGACTGCAGATTAGTGCAGCAAATTGAAGTTGATTTGTTTGTTAATTATTGGACTACGACTTAGCTAGTCTGCTGTATCCAGAGGTAAGAACTGTCTCTTTTTGGGTTTTTTTTTTTTAATTATTTTAGACTGATTTAGAAGTACAATTTAAAAATAGACTTTCTACGTCTGATTAAAAAAAAAAAAAAAAAAGAACATAGTTCTTGCGTAGTGACTGAGATTGGAAATTATCTCCTTCTGTATCAGCTCAGTTCCATATCTGATTAGAGAAATATATAACCGGATTAAGAATATGATAAAAGTTGCAGCATGATGAAGCACTTTCTAGGCATAACAGATCCTTAAAGCCACTTTTTCTATCGATGATATAACTAATATACGAAAAAGTCACTTTTTTGATTAGACGAGGCTATAGTTATTATATATTCCATGGTTTTACCGAAAAAAAAAGAACATATAATTAAGTAGGAGGCCAGAAGCCAACTAATGCCTGTCATTTTGCTTAAGCACGAGATTGTATGTTTGTTTAAGCATGAGATTCCATGTTTGATCCTCTATAGGTGCGACGGGTGTGTGAATTTCTTCTAGCGAATGAAGGATGACACCACCAAAAAAAAAAAATTAGTGTTCATAATTTTAAGAAAAAATTATATATAATATGTAAAAATATTTATATTTTCAATACCTTTACATATGCCTTTATATGATGATGGTTTGAAAAACATTGGGGATAACTCTTAAAATTATACATAAAATTTAAATCAAAATATCTACCTTAAAAAATTAGGGAAAAATGGGGGAAAAGTCTCCTAGTAAAACTTTTTTTTAAGTGATAATGACTAAATCAAAGTATTCCTATCGTGCATACAAAATTTACAAAATACTACTAGTACTTTCTATGTATAGAAATCATCCTCTTCACCAATAAAATTTTCAATGGAGAACTTTTTCCTATTTTTCTCAGAAAATTTGTGTTTGACTTAGTTATATATATTGTGTGTGTGTTTTTATATTTAAAAAGTTGTATATATGTTTGAAAAACTTAAATTAGTCCTAATTAAAATGATACACATACTAAATACTAAAAGAGTATAATACAAATCATTCTATTTTTATTAATTAATGAAGACTACAGAATTAATATAAATTAGTAAAAAATATTTTAATAACTTATATTATTTATTTCTACTTAAATATATTAGCTATATATAATAACAACCCATTCCCGCCATCATCATCATCATCATTATTGTTTTTTTTTTTTTGGAGGACCCCCTTAACTGTAAGATGTGTCCGCCATGGAAAACAAAAGCAAAAGCTCAAACTTGAGATTAGCCATTTAAACTCTGCCACAGGCACATGTATGAGCTACATGACAAATGCAACCCCAACGCATTTCATTTTTCATCACAGCAACATAACTTTAAGCCAAAAAAGTTGGAAAAACGCAAAGCACAATATAGCTACAAGACAAACGTAATCACGGGATCGGTGGAAGGTAAGTAAACATGATGGACAGTTCATTAGGTTTGTGGGCATAAATATACAAAATCCAGAAATATTTATGTTTTGCAACTGCAAACCAAAACTTCATCAACTTCACAGAGCAGAGTTTGAGCAGAGCTAAGATTCACCTTAATTCTGTCGAACTGTGATAGTAGACCAGCACCCACGAAGGAAGTCTGGTAACGATGAACAGCCTTTTTGTATTAGTGAGTGATTTGTTGTGGTTGTCGTTGGTTTGTATTATGTGCACGATAAAGGAATATGTCGGAATGTTGCTGTAGAAGGGAGTTCGAAATGTGGTTTTTGGGCCAATATAGAGTTAGACATCAGATTTGGCATATTGGTGGAGGAATATAGAAACTCGACATATATTTAGTAAACAGTATGTGTGATTTGGCTAAGTGCATTTGATTCATTCATTTGCCCTATTTTTCTTCATAGCGACATTATTGGTACTTGGCAGGCGTTTTCAGGACAAAAACTTCAGCAAAGCCAACCTTGCACATGAAAAATGTCTTCTTGGAATTCAGTCCCACTTCATGTGTCGTACGAAGTTTTGGGTTGGCTCACCTTTTGTTGCTGGTCTATCAGTTTTTACCCACAAGTTATCATGAATTATCGCAGGAAAAGGTTAATTTCAACAAAATATATCAACTTGCTTGCTTCATTTATTATCTTCATCTCACAAACACAATGCTCAGTCATGCTTTTACTACCTCTTTTTTTTTTCCACCATTCTAATTTGCCTCACCTTTGTGGTTCTTGGATTTCAGTGTTGTTGGATTGAACTTTGATTTTGTGCTGTTGAATCTCACTAAGCACTCATCCTATCTGTTCTACAATGCATCTCTGTACTTCAGCCCAACTGTTCAGAAGCAATACAGAAATAAATTTGGTCAAAAAGAGGTTATTTCCTTGTGCAATCAGCTTATATATAAATAGAAACTCAAAGCTTATAGGTTTGCTATTTAAAACCATTTTAATTTTCGTTTGTTTTTCAGATGATACCTGTAGCAGCAAATGATGTTGCTTTCTCATCTCATGCTGTTCTGCTCACTGCAATTTCCTTGTTCCAGATTGCTATCTATGATGTATCATACTCTTTTTTCCACTGAGCTTTTTGTACTTTTTTTTTTTTTTTTCGTGTTGGAATTTCTTATTATAGTTTGTTACTGTAGCGTGGAAATCAAAAGGTGTCAAAAATAGCTTGGGCAATTGTGTCTGCTGCTTGGTTAGTTGCTGCTGTATGCTTCTTCATAACTCTGTTCACACACCATTGGCTCTGGCTTCTCTATGTATTCAAGTATGTTGTGCTTTCTTACTTAAATCTTTCCCCCATTTCAGCTACCTTCTAACATCAGTTTTTAATTAACTTGTTGAAATCAATCATTTTGCAGTATCATTCAAGTTTGTATGACATGCGTAAAATATATTCCCCAGGTCAGGATTTATTCCATTTTGTATTCTTCTCTTAAACGAAATTTGAATTGCAAGGATCATGTTCGTAAAACCTAATGCTAAAAATCATATTTGCATTGTACTCTGCCCTTGCTAGTTTGCATTCCTTTTTTCCCCCTTGCGTACCAAAGTGCTTCTATTAGTTAGCCAAATAATTTGATAACATTCTACTGGATGAAGGCTGTGATGAACTACAGGAGAAAAAGTACAACAGGCTGGAGCATTGGTAACATTCTACTGGATTTTTCTGGAAGTGTTGGAAACTATACACAAATGGTTATGCAATCAATAGATCAAGGTTTGTATTGAAATCTCCTTTAGCTGTAAGTGTATGGATTTTTCCAAGTGTATATCATCACAATGACAAGATTTCAAATCTCAGGTTCTCTGACAAACTTCTATGGGAATATAGGAAAACTGTTGTTATCTCTGGTATGGATCATTCTCTCACCCTAACTTATATATATAGAATATGATAATGAATTGTTAATAGTGATGTAATTTGCAATTGCAGGTTTCTGTATTCTTTGACATTCTGTTCATAATCCAGCATTATGTGTTATATCGGCACAAAAAAGGCCCAAACTCAAAGGCCCCTCTGGAAGCTGAGATGGCCAAGTCTGCTACTGATAGACCAGTGGCACAGAATGTTTAAGATTTTGTGGTGGTTCATAAGTTCAGAATGGTTTGTATGTTGTAATAAATTTGTTTTAATAATTAGGGGATTATTCCTTTGGAATACTTTGTATGTCTCACACGAGATCACCAAAGTGATTGACCAAGGTAAAAGGTAAACCATTTTAATAAAGGTTACCAAAAAAAAAAAAAAGAGTAATAAAACAGAAGAAAAGCTGGTATAATTAATACCCAGCAGAATCCTTGGAATGCATGAAAGCAATATACCAACAGCTCCCAAAAATGAGGTTTCTAAACAATGCACATCAGATGATATAGTATCAAGAAAGAAGAAATTTGGTCTTATTCACCAGAAGTTCCAAGTAACTTTATTAATACTCTTCCAGTATGGCACATACATAGTTAATACTAGGGCTACAACTCCGTGATCTATGGTTTTCAGATGAGAAGTTTAAAAAACTTTCTCATGGAACCTGAAGGATCGCTGAATAACAGGAAAATGCCGACAAGTGTTGACAAAAATTATGATTTAAAAGAGGAAGACAAACATGCCTTTTCCTAATTCCTAAGTGTCTTCTATAGTTTTACTCATTCAATAATTCAGGCAATCAGATGAGGAATATTGGCCAGCGAAGCCTGAACCTTCTCCTGTGAAAATGAGAGGTCAACCATATCACCTTGCAAATACTTCTCATAAGCTGACAGGTCAAAATGGCCATGTCCACACATTGCTGTCAGAATGACCTTGGCCTCTCCAGTCTCTCTACAGCGAAGAGCTTCCCTAATAGTTGCCGCGATAGCATGAGTAGGTTCAGGAGCTGGTATCAACCCTTCAGACCTGGCAAACTGTATTGCACCTGCAACAAAATAACAAGTCACCCTCTCTAAGTCCTTCCATAGTTACTTGCTTCTATTTTCATTCGAGTAACAGAAAACAATATTTTGGTCCCTCGATCAATAAAATACTGCCAGTGTTATCCTTCCATCCTATCACTAATCAAAATTTAACATCAAACCTAACAAATTGCTGACATAACGCAAGGCAGTACCATACAATGCAAGTCATAAATTTCCAAGCCAGCAATCCATTAAGTTTAGCATCACTTGTGTTATTATCATAATTTGATAGACTACATTAAAATAAATGATCCGGGAAGAACGAAATTGAAATTGCATTTATCAATCAAGAATCAAAATACCGTTTTCATTGAAAAACCAAGGCTAGGTAGCAGTTAATCTTTCAAATAGTGGCAATTACAATTACCATGAAAGCACTCAGTCTGTGGAATTGCAATTGCTTCCATAAATCCCAACTCATAAATATGCGACAGCAATGGAGCCATTCCATGGTAGCGCAAACCCCCTACAGAAAAGCAAAACTACAGATTAGGGCAAGGAAAAATGTATGAACTGACTAATCTGAGCTAAAATCTCTCATAATAACAAATTTTTACCGGCATGAATTGGATCAGGAACAAAGTCATGTCCAAGTGTGTGCATTTTCATCAACGGAGTCATCCCTGCTGTATCTCCATAATCATATGCATATACTCCTTTTGTTAAAGAAGGACAAGCTGCAGGTTCAACTGCTCTTATAGTAGGGTTAATTTTCTCATTGAGTTTCTCTCGAATGAACGGAAAACTAAGCCCAGCAAAGTTGGAGCCACCACCAGTGCATCCTATGATGACATCGGGGGTTTCTCCAATAGCTTCCATTTGTTGAAGGCATTCTTCTCCAATAACAGTTTGGTGTAGTAAAACATGATTGAGCACACTTCCCAGGCAGTACTTGGTATCGGCATTTTTAGCTGCAACCTCTACAGCTTCTGATATTGCTATTCCTAAACTTCCAGGGCTTGATGGATCCTTTTCAAGGATTCTTTGCCCTGCCTCGGTGACTGCAGATGGAGATGGGTGTACTTTTGCACCCCAAGTTTGCATCATCAATCTTCGATATGGTTTCTGATCAAAAGATGCACGAACTTGCCACACCTGTAATTGTTCATAACAGTTTCTGAGCTTAAACAAAATCATGTGCATTTTTTTTTTTTTTAAATTAGTATTTTACATTCACACCACCAACTTTTTTGCTTGTCTTGATGGATCAAGGATTTAAAAGATAATGTTGACGGCTTAGTAGCGTGGACAAGTGAGGTTTGTTTTCAATATTTTGGTTTTGAAGTTTTTTTTTTTTTTTAACCTGAAGTTTCAAAGGTCTTTGTACATTGATGAAGATGAGAGGCTAGTGCAAGTTGGGCATGGAGAGGGAAGAGTAATTCACTCTAAAAAGTATTTATAGACATTTTTGTAACAGTTTAAACCTGTAAGTGGGGATAATTCTTGATATGGTATAATAGCTTTCATGACCCAGTGATTTATAGTTCTGTTGATGCCAAATATTCTTAGTTAAAATTAAGTTTTTGGTCTACCAAGAAAAATTGGGAAAAGATGATGGGGTCATCACGTGGAAAGCATGTTAGAGATCATAATAAGGGAAAATTGCAATAAAGTCCTACCCAAGAGAATTAAATACAAAAAAATCTCTTGGAATCATTAAATTATTAAGTCCTAAGGACCTCATTGCAATAAATTCTATTTGTTTTAATTACCAAATTGTCCTTATCTTTTTTTAAAAGTATGTATTGACAACTGAAAATGCAATCGTTAACAACTTAAGGTGTAATGATTAACAACTATCACGGCAAGTATTGATAACAGATTTTCTCAGCACATTACAAAAATATAATACATGACTTGTCAATACTTGCCATGATAGTTGTTAATCATTACACCTTAAGTTGTTAACGACTGCATTTCAATTGTCAATGCATATTTTTTTTTTTAAAAAAAAAAGGCCAACTTGGTCAATAAACAAATGAAATTTATTGCAATGAGGCCCCTTGGAACTTCATATTAGTTTGATAATTTCAAGAGACTTTTTTGTATTTAGTTCGCTTGGGTGAGATCTTATTGCAATTTTCCCTTATAATAAAACCATTTATGGACCATCATATATCAGTTAATGTTTGAGTTGACACGGTTCTTGACAAAAAGCATAGAGTCACTTAAATGGAACTGTGACTATGTTGAATGTTAACAAGAGTTGTAATCAAAGAATCAGAGATTCATTCCAGTTTCCTAGTTTAGACACACTAGAAATTTGTAGAAGTACTAGTAGGATGTTCATAACATGAGATTTTGTTATTGAACAAGTCCTACGGTCATGTGGAATAGTTATTCATCAATATAGTGTTCCTACCTCACAGCCAAGTCCAAATATGCTACATGCAAAGGCTAATGCACTTCCCCACTGTCCAGCACCAGTTTCAGTCACAACATTCTTGATGCCTTCTTGAACATTATACCAGGCTTGTGGAACAGCAGAGTTGGGTTTGTGTGATCCTGCCGGGCTTACACCCTCATACTTGTAGTAAATTCTGGCAGGTGTATCGAGAAGCTTCTCCAGCCTCTTGGCTCTAAGTTCAACCAAGAATTATAAGATCAACTGACCACAGTTTTAGAAACAAATTTTCAGATAAAAATAACAGTCAATCGAACCTAATAAGAGGGGTTGGTCGCCAAAGACTGTAAACATCTCGAACTTCATCTGGTATATTGATGAATCTGTCACTAGTCACCTCTTGTTTGATCAGTTCATCAGGAAAAAGAGCAGACAAGTCTTCTGGCTTAACTGGTTCATAAGTCTTAGGATGCAATGGCGGAGGAGGTTTAACAGGAAGATCTGCAATTAGATTGTACCACTGATGGGGAATTTTAATTGATTTGTCAACATCCGAAGTTGCTATTACTCTGCTGGCATTTGGTCTTACATGCACTGGCTTTACACCCAAGGCAAGATGCTGAGGCCACTGGCCGTTTACTGAAGGAAGCAAGTAACAAGACGATGTGATAACGAAGCCATACTACTAAGTTGGGGAAGGTAAAATCACAGTCAACCAGAAAAACAAAACACAATGCCAATTCAATCAAAACATGTAACAATTAGGCCTTATTTTTTAACATATCCTCAAGAGTTCAGAAGTAATATAAACATGATTTGAAGAACGACCATTATGCACTACCATTGGAGGTGGAATATGGGATGAGAAATAATTATGGTTTAATTTTAGTTCAAGGATACTTGGGATTTATTTGGATTTATCAGTATTTTAGCATTTTCATTATTAGAATTAATTGTTATTATCGTTGTTATTTTCATTTTTATTATTATTTTACTATAAGTAGCTTTAGGGTTTCATGCTGATGGCCAACTTGAGAATAGGTATTGAATACATTGCAGTTATCAATTTTCTCTCTTGGCTTCCTTCTCAGTTTCGCTTTTTCTCTCAGGATTCTTCCTTTCTCTCCCTTGTTTCACATCAATTTGGTACCTCAAGACCCTCATGTTTCTTCCCTTTGAATAATTCAGACTACAGCTATTTCTCCATTGTAGTGTGTGGTATGGGTTCTATAAGCAGGTAAAGGAATATTGTTTATATTACTTTTTATGTACTGTCAAACTTAAGAACACTACCCGCTCTTTATGATAAATCTTATTACAAAGTCCTAGTTGGCGTTTTCAAACTTCTTTTTAATGCCCACTATTACCGACACTTCAATCTTAAAAATTTCCCATTTGAAAGAAAACCTTTACAATTTGCTGCTGCTTAGTGGCTTGCATTTTTTCTGTAGAGGCAGAAGATTAAGACACCATAAATTCCGAAGCAAGATATCCAACCACACGAGTGACAAAATCTGTACCAGCTCAGAAGACCCCAAAAGATTAGTGAATACATTTTCAAGTTAACTTTGTCACCATGGAAGCTTTTGAAAATGGAAATGAATTGTTCAAGGGAAGTCAGTCACTCTGGCACTTTAACGTAGCTTGTCTCCATTGCCATGGCTTGAATTTCTTTGCTACATTCAAGTTTCATAAGAGGGCCGTCTTCAATGAAAGGAACTAGATGAGTGTATGATTGCAGTGAAGTTTCACCCTGAATGGCAGTATCTACCCGATTATCCTTATTTTGCATCAAGATCAAGTTGGGAGAAAATTCTCTTCCATACCAGAGAATCGTTGGTGGAAGAGAGAAGAGAGGAGGTCAAACCTGTCTCTTTATCTCTAGGATCCGTGGGGAGAAAATCTCCAACTTTATTTTGGGGGGAAAAAAATACTATGAAGCTTTCTGCTAGTAAACTCGAAAGTTGCTCATAACTCATAAATTACAATATTCTTCGTAAACTTCATGGTTTTCTTCACGATTTCAAGCTGTTCATAAAGCCTCACACTTTGACAGTGCAATCCTTTTATCTTTGCCATTTTATGAAAAAGCTTCATATTTGTCAGAGGCAATCGATCACTGCATTTTCCAGCGCTTCAATTTCTAGAACTGATTGTTCTTTCATAGTACTCAAACAACGTCAATTTACCGCATCACAGCAAAACAGAGATAACAGATCTAGAACAAGCCAAGAATATGAAGATAATACAAAAAAAAAAAAATTCAATTGAAAGGAAAACGAAACAAGAAGTACCTTTAGCGTGGAAGCAAGGTGCAGTGTTAGACAATTTAGCCGAGAAGACACAGTGACTGACCATTTTCGTTGGTCAATGAAATTTTTGTGAGAATATGGGGACAAAAATTTTTCCCGACAAGCAGTTTTCGAAGGACGCGGAAGGAGTGGAGTGGGTGCTGGCAAGGGCAGCTATTGACCATTGAGAAAGCAAGGGAAAATCGAAAATGACCCCACATGACAGACGTGGGAAAAATGACAATAAAAAGTTAAAAACTTATCAACCTAATTTCATACCTACTTAAAACAGTTTATAAGTACTCCCTCCGTTTCTTATTATAAGAGACATTTGATGCTTATAGCATGTTTCTATATATAAGAGACACTTACAAGTTGTCTCTACTTTTTTGTGTTGATTTACTATTTTACCCACATTTATTATTTCCAACTCACACTCTCTCTCCCTCCCACTTCTCTTTCTTTTAATAATTTAATTGTTCTCTCTCATGCTCTCTCTCCTTATTAATGAGGGTATTTTTGGAAAAAAATTATACTTTTTACACATTAATTGTTTTTAACTAATTTTAACTGTTTTTTTTATCAACGTACTTCGGTTATTTGTCTTTTCTAATAAGGAACGGAGGGAGTAGTTTATAAGTTGTTTTTTAATAATGATTTACAGAGTACGAAATAAATATATAAAATAACAGACATGTGAGAAAAATGACAATAAAAAGTTAAAAACTTATCAACCTAATTTTATACCTACTTAGAACAGCTTATAAGTAGTTTATAAGTGTTTTTTTAATAATAATTTATAGAGTATGAGATAAATATATAAAAAAAATTTATCTCTACTTATATAAACGTACTTATAAGATATTTTTACCGTTCTACCAAGTAGGATCAAGTTTATAGCTCAAAATGTTGTATTGTTGTTTTTCTAACGTAACAACACACTTTAATATTATTTTTCACTTATATACAGCAGTTAGTTTTATTTATAACTTAGGCTACTACATAATGTATTATAAATAAAATTAAAATGATAGAGGCACGGAAAAATAACAAGAACATTAGATCTTAATAATATATCATGATGTTGGACGCTATTTATATAACTCAAAAACTACTCCGCTCTTAGCAGTTGTGAAGTCAGATTTTATCGTAAATATAAGTCCTGAATCTGCTCTTTCAGTTCTTAATATAAGACATATTAACTAATTTGATTAAATTAAAAAAGTTAAGTAAGTTAATTAATTGTAAGAAATATGATTTTTTTTCTTAAAACACCATAATTTATATCATGATGCTGAATGCTACTTTATATAACTCAAAAACTACTCCGGTCTTTAATATAAAAGTAAGTTGTTGAGTTAGATTTGATTTTAAATATAAATATTGAATTTACTTGTCCAATCATTAATATAAGACCTATTAACTAATTTGATTATATTTAAAAAATTAGATAAGTTAGTTAATTGTAAGAAATATGACATGTTTTTTAAATATCATAAATTATTTATCTTAATATCCTCCCTCCCCTCCTACTTGATTTTGGTTGAGAGAATATCAATAGGAATAATTTAGAAAAAATTAAAAAAATATGATAAATAGATTTTACATTTAGAATCAAGATCAACTCAACAATAAAGTTTTACATTAAGGACAAGAAGAGTACTTTGTATCCTAATTTATGATTTTTCTCAAAATATTCCTATTTATGATGGGGAATTTTTACCAGGGGACAGTTTCATTATACATAATTAAATAGGATAATTTAGATAAATTAAAATATATTTATTATAAATAATCAATTTAACTAGTTTTCTTAATAATTTTAAATTAGTTATTTAGCTCTTCAATTCATACAATATGAATTTACGGAACTATAAAAGAATGATCCAATTTTTTATTTTTGGCCGGCAGAAAGAACCAACTTAAAAAAGAAAAATGAAAACGGATAAAAATGATTTTACATTATCATCCGTTAACATATCACTCAATTATAGTCTAAAAGTTTAAATAAGTCCTGAAAACTTAGTTCTAAGTCTTATTATGTTGGTTAATTTTTCAGCTAGTTGAAATCCATTCTCATTGAATTAAACTTTCACAATTTATAATTGTAACTTTTACATTTTTAATTAGGGCCATACTTAGGACAAATTCTTTATATTCATTGTGTCAAGTTTTTCAATCACATATGGTCATGTATCCTATTTCTAAAATATTAGCATTTAATTATAAATTCACATAAAAAAAAAGGACATAATGGAGAAAATTCCATATTTATCTCTTAATTAAAACAATCCATTTAAAAAGACAAGTGTGAAGGACCTGTCTTGAAAACATGTACGAAAGGCATTTATGAAATAAATAAATATATGTACACTCATTATCATCCAATACTTAATATAAGAGTTAGTTGACTAATTTAAGTAAATTAAAAAATATTAAATTAGTTATTTATAATAAATAGATGTTATCTTTTCTAAAATACCTTGCTAATCATGTTTCTTAACTAGAATTTCTATTTGATGGAACATTTAACATGTGCAATTATTACTAGAACTATTTTAGAAAAAATAGACAAATATGAAAACAAAGTGAATTAGGCTCTTATATTTAAAACCAAATTGAATCTTAAACTAACTTTTATATTAAGTACAATAGATACTATTTATGTGTTTTTGACAGAGATAAATGACATGAAGCTTGGCTCAATCATATTAATTAATAATTTAATGTCAAACTAGTGTTATTCACTCTTTTAAAACGCGACTTAGAAAAACTATCCGAAAAGAATAATTAATTGACAACTACTACTCCTCTAATTTTGACAACTGGGTTTATGGGATTTAGAACTGAATTTTTAGAATTTAATCTGCTTCCCTAATTTACCATTTTTATGATTAAGCTTGGAAGATTTATACTTAAAGTTTTAAAATTTACGACTCAAGTATCTGATTATGTCCCAGCATTTCAGCATTGACCCTTTTATGCTATTTGATAAATTTGTTGTGCTTCAGTGTCTTGTTTTGTTTTTTTTAATGGTCCTTCCATGTCATTCTTCCCAAAATGTAACAAAAAATTACAGGAAATTCTTTTTATTGCCTGTTTTTATTATTTTTAAAATTTTCATAAATTTACCCCACTTTTTGTCAAAAGTCTGAATGCCTGATAACACTTTGATATCAAATAACTAATTTAGGGGTTTTTTAAATATTTAAATTCCAATTAAAATGTTTGCGTTTTTAATTAATTTTTCTATATTTATTTTTAATTTGAAAATTTTCAAAAGTTAAGTTGAAATAAATGGAATACAATTTGGAAATGTTGGAATAACTATTATTAAAAAGTTAATTAGTAGTAAACAATCCTAGCAGACTTCTTTCAATACTTTCAATTCAAGATTTTTAACTGAGATTTCTCTTCTTCTTCTTTTTTTTGGTTATAAGGGGGCGGGATTGAACCCGCAAAGCACACACCCCACTTAGCCAAACGGCCAGTGGTTTTAACTGAGATTTCTAAGATTTTCAACTCGTATACAAATAGGGATTTTTTTTTCCTTGTTAACTTTCCATTAAAATGTCAATAAAGGACTAAGTTATTGATTGACAACTTAAATTTAAAATTCTGAGTTCTTAAAATATTATTATCCTCGTAATTTGTCTAAATTAGTAAATAATAATGGATAATGAATGGTTTAATGCCAGAAAACTTACCCGAGTTGATGTTAGTTTTAATTTAAATAAAATATTAACTTAGTTTAACTTAACTTTTTACTTATATTTCATTAACTTATACACTATATCCGGTCCTAAATATACTAAAAACTAACTTTTATACTTAAATAAGATAGTACTACCTCTGGTCCTTAATATAAGACCCTGTTTGACTTTTATTTTGGTCATAAATATAAAACCCCAATCCACTTTGTCTCTCATATTTATTTATTTTTTTCCAAAATAGCTCTTCTAACAATGATAGTTCTAGTCAATACACTTGATTAGCAAGGATATTTTAGGAAAGACAACACCTATTTAGGACAAATAACTAATTCAACTTACTTTCTTAATCTCCTCAAATTAGTCAACTGCCTTTTATAATTAAGACTGGAGGTAGTACTACATAGTTTAGTTCTTTTTATGCCATTATATGTATAGTTAACTTGAAAGAAAAATTAAATCTATAATTTTCTGGACAAATCTTATTCAGAAGGACCAAAAAACGTCAGTTCCTCCTAATCATGAATGCATAATCCATTATTGAAGAGGACCATCACAATCTGAATGTTAAGGCTGAACTTCGTTCTGCACAGACTGTGTAAAGTTCTGTAGTCTGAAACACTACTTTAGGCATTCTATCCTTGACAACTGATATGATGGAAGTAAGATTGAAAGATAATACAAGTTATTGAAACAGACAAAACCAAAAACACGTTTCAGATAAGTTTATTTTAGGCTGATTTTACATTGCTGTTTTAATGGAAAGAAATTCTTGTTCTACAATCTCATATATTCTAAAGTTATGAAGAAACTGAAATCACAACTTGCTTTCAAAGCAAGAAGAAGAAAGGGAAAAATGTCACCACAAAATACAAAAAGAAAACAGAAACAGGTTGCTTTTAAGTTATAAGAAAGCCATGAACTACAGTTAACTCTTCAATTCTTTAGCAGCATCAAGGGTGAGGAATTTCTTTATAACTCCCATCATCTCACCACCAGGGAATCGACCGAGGCATCCCCTTGCTGCTGCTATCTCGTTAAACTCATAAACCGAATCACCGCTGTAAGATTGACATCTTTTATCTCTTGCCTCTTGTTCTATTTTCAAATCACTGGTTAAATCCTCACCAGCTTTAACACTTGGAAGAGGAAATGGGTCAAGAGAAGTTTCACTTATGGTGTTCTCACCAATGGCACTGACAAAATCTTTCAGCCGACACATTGCAAATGGGACTGGTTCGAAGCTGTGATCTCCATATTCAACTGGAGTAGAGTGGTCTCCGGTGACACAAAGGATGAACTGAAAATTTCCAGTGGATTCTGCCTCCCAGAGGAGTCTTGCCATCTGTGCTATTGCTCGATCTACAGCTTCTAACGCCTTGACCTTGAGAACACTTGCCTTATCATGTCCTGCATCATCTATTGCCTGCAGCACCACAATATGTCATCATGTAGAATCCAAATTTCCAGAAATAAACATAGCTTAAGCAGATAAATAATGAGAGCAAAAGAAGCAGCATTCTAAGGTTGCTTCTCGTCAATTCGCTTACGTAATTGCTAGTTCATGAAGATTTTATTAAACAAGTTATATTGGCATCAGTACTATCTAAAATTAACTAGTGTATAAACAAGCAATCCAAGATGAATTTGTGTAGTTATCAAGTCAACAAGGATAATTTTGTCCAAAACTAAGGTTAATCAGCCTGAACTGTATTTTTTTAAAGCTTATTTTGACCAGTCTTGATTTTCAAGCAGATGAAAATAAGCTAAAATTAGCTTATAGAGACATTTCAAGTTCTTAAACTATAATTTATTATGAGACCAAATGATCAATTAAGTTCTTGCCAATAACCATGCTTGCCGAAGAGAAACATTTCTGAAAGCCCAAAAAAAATGGGCACTGAGGAAAAAAAGCCATACGGTGATAATGAAGAACCATAAGACTGAAATCCATGGATGCCTACGCCCATAAGAAATCGTGGAATAATGCAAAAGGAATCAGGCAAGAATCTCGTTTAACAAGAGAGCAGGGCCATTGAAAGGGAAATGTAGGATCAACTGGTAGCCAGTTCTTTAACCAACAAAAAGTGGTGGCCAATTCAATAGCAAAAGAATCAGGCATTTGGACATTATATCATCCACAGCATATGAGAACAAAGCTTTGAGGAAGTTTTCACTTTTACAAGTTCATTGTTGAGAATCTCAGAGATGTGATTTTGTCTTCCAATTGATTTTCACAAAATCACAAAGGTCGGGCCCTGGAATATTCTGAGCATAATCAATAGTTTCTTGATAATAAAATGCTCGCCTCATCATGCTTTGACAAAGAGCATTTTCCCTCAAAACTTGAGCTCTAAGTGAAGGCCAGTGAATCAATTTGATTACACTCTCTTACACAACACCTCACTCAAAAGCGCTTCCCCTAGAAGCAGGAGAAAACCATAGGCACACATACCTATGGTTTTGAGGGAAAATACATAAGAGAACAGGGACCTACAAGGATTATACGGGCCCTAAACCATGTCCTCTGCCATTTCAACTTCGAGACTTGAGCTCTTAGGTGAAGACCCATCAGTCAATTTTATCATAACCACTAACATTTTAAATTTTTTTGCCTTGTTGAGTCTCATGACTCATGAGTGTTAAAAGCAACCATATTCAACTTTGGGACATAAAAATTTTAAATTGAAGACTCTATTAAGAGTGGCTGGAGTCCTTTGTTAGAATGTTGAAAATGAGATGCTGAAAGGACTTGTAAAATCAAAAGCATGTGACTCTCTTTGTTATTGATTCCAATGCAACAAAAATTTTTGCGAAACCAAAACTTTCAGTAGTCAAAACACTGAGCTCAGACAAAATGATGCAGCAAGCAAACCTCAGTAAATCAACATGTCAAAACAAATCCATATTTCCAGAATTCTCACTGCTAGCATAAAATCAAAAGCTGTGAATTTTTTATCCAGAATCATCTAAGGAAATGCAATCAGAACATGCCCAAAATTGTTCCAAAAGACCCAGAAGACTCACTGCCAACAGATTAAAAGAACGTCAAAAGAGTCCAGTCGTTTGTTTGAAAAACGGAATTAGAAACTTCTTCACTCCAAGCATGTGATACAATTTCAAAAAGAACACCAACCTACCTTGGCATCATATTCTCACAAAGAGAAAGAAAACTCAACCCATACATCAGTGTATTATGCACTTCCAAATTATATGTCCCAATTCTGAACATGAAAACGTACTTCAACCCTCATGTTTAACTCATATTTGAAAACAAATGGAAGAGGAAAACAATCCAAGCATATCAAACACATTCAAAATTGATCTCAAGCTCAGTTTCATATCTGCCAAAAAGAAAATGAACACAGGATGAACAGACAATGGTTTGGCCCAAAAAAAAAAAAGACAATGGCATTTACAATAAAATACAATTTACTTTTCCACGTTTTAGATCTAAAGTTTGCTTTTAATTTCCAAGAGAAACATGCACCAGAATCAGTGTGCATAATCACTTTTTAGAAAACACGCATACAATTGTGATGTTAGTCCTAAGACACGATCACAGTTTAGACCCTCATTTTGGACAAAAACTAACAATGGAAGAGACATAATCCATACATATGAGATTTTTATACTGATGTGAAGTGTAATAGAGAAAAACTTGAAAGTATGCGAATAGGATGAAACCAAAACTGATAAATTTTTGACCTTGATGTGAAGAAATCCAAAATCATAGCCCTCTGACCGGCCAGCTTTATGCTCATCCCCTCCAGGCACAAACACTTGAGGACGAGACTTCAATGGAGCTGAGAGTGCGTTGGCTATTGCTAATGCTTTTGAAGTGAGTAATGTTCGATAATCTCCAGTCGCTCCAGGAGCTTCAAGAATATCAATACCAAGTGATAATCCCAGGCCAGCAATTATTTTTGTGGGAGCTACCATGCATGGCCACAAACCATGTTTGTTTACAAATGGAGGAACCTGTAATAAGCAACTTAAAAGATGCACATATAAACCATGTAAATGAACACATTAGTATCAATAAATTATATCACAACTCCTGATACGTCACTTTTCTTTCTTTCTTTTTTTTGGGTGAAATATCATGTGTTGTAATATCAAAGTATTTTACCAGATATGTGATCAAAAGCACAGAAAAATATAAATTTCAAGTGAAGGAACAACAAAAATTCTTCCAGAATAGCCAACACCATAATTATTTTCAAACTTCAAATGCTCTTATTTCCTAAACAATAATTATTTGATGTGCCTTCACTTCCTCTGAGGTAGCAGACTGTGTAAATGGATTAATCTGCATACTTTAGTTATATTACGTAGCACGTTCATGTTTGGCAGATAAATGAACAAAATATGATGAACTTTAAAGAACATACCTCAATTCGAATACCACAACCTCTTAATAGAACTACATTAGCTATGTTCTTCCCTTCTGCAACACGTTTAGCATTCACAGGATGAGAAACTAGAATCTTAGTTATTTCATTGGACAACTCATTAACAACAGCTGCAGTATTCCTTGCTTCATCAGAATCATCTAAAGCTTCTGCTTTCAAAAGTAAGCGGTTGTCCTTCAATGGATCAGTTCCTGATATGTTTCCACTCAAATTTGGTCCTTTGACAACCACTCCACATCTATGCTCTGTTGCATACCTATGAGAAGAATAGCCCCCACGCCAGCAGAAAAAAAAGAAAGAAAAAAGGAAAGAAAAAGAAAATGGAAGCTATTACTTTTACTGAGCAACTCTACATTAACCTTTGAATTCTAAGATTCCAGTCATCGATTAATCAACCTAAGGGTTGAGAATGAAGAGAAATTTAAACAAAATCCTAAAACCAGATGAAAAAAATAAAAAGCAACCATATGAGACACACACCAATACAAAATCGAGTTTATTATTAATAAATAAAACTGTGATGCTATCAGAAGTTATATTTGAAAATGAGAATATGGAAAATGATATATCTGTCCATATGAAGTGATTATATTCATTGACAAATAACAGTTTATGAAACAAAAATAGCAGCCTTAGGTATCAGCACCTGACTCTGACTTCATATTGTGGGAAAGAAGGAAGCTTCATTCCATCGAGGGCTGAACACAGTATGGGACCTTCTTCTTCAAAGTGCCTGTCAGCCCTCCTACTGGTGACTATTCCAGTTTTCTGATCCAGAGTAGCAAAATTCGACTGTAGGAAGGCAATTAATTAGGTTCTCATCATGAGGAAGAATGAAGAAAATTCTCGGCTAAATTCATTATCAAATGGGAAGGTCAAGGACAACCCCCTTTTCATATCAAACTGATATGAATGTGAAAGGAAATGCTCAAACACATGTGCCAAAAGTAACTATCTTTAAGTCAAAGATTCTAGGCAGGTATTTCCCCAAAGAGATGTAAGAACCAGCCTGCTGTTGAGAATATTGAGAAATGAATAAATATTATGCATCAAGTAGTCAAATTTGTCGAATTAAGCTGAAATTTATATACAGTAACTATAAGTGAGAAGTTAAGATCATAGGTCCCCTTTTCTAGAAATGGAAGGAAGCCAGAAAAATATTGACAGATTTTTCAACTTAAGAGTGCTATATGTGCTACTTAAGAAATATTCATACAAACCTTTTCTAGCAATCCTGACATAAAGGAACAGATCAATGGCGCCCTAATGTCAAATAAAGCACCACTCAACACAAATGCATTCTGGACAAAGGATGCTTTCTAAAGCATTCATTACCTTCATGTGAACAAGAATAGTTTTATAAAGGGAGAAAAAGTCTCCAAGAACATGCAAGAGGAAACAATTAAATTAAAAGGCAACCTTAAAAGCAATATCACCAGGTGACATTGCCAGTCCAGCTCCCATGGATTCAAATGCACCTCGACCACGATAATAAACTCTAGGATCATAGCCCAGCAAGGAGAGGTGAGCTGTATCACTTCCACAAGCTAAGCCTACTTCAACAGGGTCCATAAGTCCGTTAACTCCAGCTGATGCTATGGCATCCAAGCAGGGGGCTTTTGCAGCCTGAAGAGGAGTCTTGCATTCGAACATTGGCAATGACACATCACCCAACCCATCAATCAACACAAACGCCACCCTTTTTTTGGGCAGCTCTTGACTTGCCATATCTCTCCCTGCAGTCATCCTTCCCTCTTCTAATATTAAGTATCTGGCTTAAACAGTTGGTGTAACAAACGTTACTCTGATGCTTCAACAAATGGCAGAAACAGCAGCTTACTCATTCCCTGGCACTACAATAACAATTATTTTAGCAATATAAGCGAATGCATTATGAAGACACAACCAATTCTATTGAACACATTATTGGACCATAATGTTTTCATACCTCCTTCAAGAAGATAGATATCTACCATAACATAAATAAACGTTAAGCTTTTCACGTCAGTTCAGAGAATTCGAGAACATCAAAACCATCATGCAAACTCACAGCACTTTTTAATCATTTATTTCTATGATGGAGCTATTATTGACACCCCATAGCAATAATTTCGCATCAGAACTTTGATTTCCCAACACCATATTAAATTTGATTCCCAACACTACATTAAAAATGAAAATTTTCAGAATAAATAGTGCAAAAGGGAACGGGGAACTGCACTAACAGAAGTAAGAAGCTGGTATCCTCAAGGGGGGGGGGCTCAAATGCAATAAGGCTAATGAAGCACGAACCAGGCATGACCCATGAACATCCAAAGATCAAGAAATGAAAGGGAATTATATGCAATAAGACTATTGAAGCCTTTTTCACAATGGGACTTCTGTAGAATAAATCATAACTCCGAAGCAAATTCGAACTCTCATTCGCAGAAGCAGATATGTGGAACCGAATATTACCTTTAAATAGCTATAATGGCGATCCACTGCTTGGAACCAAAATAGAGGGGTGGAGGTAGGAAGCACGGCTCTTTTCAGATGTCCACTTTATTCTGCATCACGGCACCACCTTATTCCATTCAGTTTCTCTTTTTTGGCCGATATTCCATCTCGTTGGATTTCGCTCTGCAACCAAACGAAAAGATACTCATAAAATAAGGAAAAGTTGTAGAAATCAATATATTTATTTATTTAGTATATGTATAATATAAATATAAATTATAAAAACATCCATTTTTATGCAGAATTATATCTCTAATTAAGCGATCTAATAGTTTAACGCTTTTTAGGTTAATTTTATAATTAATTTTTAATTGAATACTGATAAATTAAAATTTGAATATTGAATTTTAAAAAAAAAAGTAAAGAGGAGAAATTATCGGAAAGAAAAAATAATTTGACAGTCATATGATTTTGCCAGATCACGTCAATCTGAGAGCTATGTTTGCCACGTAAGCTGCAATCTAACTTTGTTAACCTTTTTTGTTTTTTGTTTTTGGCCATCGACTTCGTTAACCCATTTACTTAAGCAGGACTGGGCAGGCCTTTGCTTAGAGAAGTAGGGCTGCAAAATCTCGGATTCGATTTAAAAATTATTGGGACAACTCCATTAAAGACCACTACTGTGACCTTATTTGAGTTTTGTCTCAAAAAGTTCTAAAATTTTACTACCTTTGGTATTTAATATAGAACTTAGTTAAAAATTTAATTTGGTTCAAAATACAAGAACTCAATCCACTTTATTTCTAATATTTATTTATTTTGTTTTCAAGTAATCCTTGTCATAAATGTACATGTTAATAGGAAGTCATTTCAATACATATAATTAACAAATATATTTTAGGAAACACAATATCTATTTATTACAAATAACTAATTTAATTAAATTTTTTAGTATTTATAAATTAGTTGTCTAATTTTTATATTAAGAAATGGAGGTAGTATTATAGGATTAAAGAACCAAAGTGACATTGCTCTCTCTTGTAATTTTGCACATATTTGTTAATACATTTCATTTTCATTCAAAAAAAAAAATCAAAGTGACATTATAAAACAAGTCTCAAAAGTTATTATTTTTTTACCTTTAAACTTGTCATTAAATGCTGTTTAAGTTGTTATTAAAAATCAAAATTAAGTTGAGTCATTTTCCTTAAGGAGGTCTTATGAAAGAAAAATAATTACTAAAAAGTCTCAATAATAACCTAAGCAACCTATAACAAGTTTAGATATAGAAAATGACAATATTTGAGATTTGTTTTACAATTGTATTTTTTTTATCTCATTATAATTCTCCCTTTTTCTTATAAGGGCTCACCCACTCATTTTACAGTCTTATAAATAGTACTGGCTGTGTGAACAATGTCAGCTTGTGGCTCAGTGTTTTTTCTCTAGTTACGAGGTAGTTGGGTTAGATTTGAATTTCAAATGTTGAAATTTCCTCCATGTTTCATCTTTCTCTAGCGTTGTGTGTGGCTCGACAAAAAGAAGGAAAGGGGAGGGCAGGGCATGGGAAGGGAGGGGAAGAAAGGCGAGGAGAGGGAAGGAATTTTAATAATCCTTTGTTTAGATTGATAGATGAAAGGAATTTTAATAATCCTTTGTTTAGATTGACAGAGGGAAGAAAGGGAAGACATTTTAATGATACCTTATTTGACATGAGAGTAGAAGGGATGGGAGCTATTCAAAAATTAACTATTTTGTTCTTATAAAATTTAAATGTTTTTTATTTTTTTTAGGGAAAACCATATTGAAGGTATCTATACTTCCTCTCAATTTTTAATTTGGTACCTATGTGTTTTTTTCCCTTTAATTAAACATTTAATTTTATCTTTTTAGCAACATTAGCTTTTATAACTTTGTTCTATTGATATTTTTAGTCTCTACATAAGGATTAATGATGTTAATAGAGGAAAAATAAAGATTTAGTTAAGAATAAAAAACACATAGGTACCAAATTGAAAATTGAAAAAAAGTATAGGTACCTCCAATATAGTTTTTCCTTTTTTTGATTTTATCAATATGTATGAGGCAATTTATCAACTTTAAAAAAACCACTAGATTGTGCTTTTGCCACAAGCACAACTCATTGAGATAAAACAAAATAAAAAAATTGAAATCAAATTTCTTTCCATAATGTTATTAGTTGATTCTAATATGTTCAAAAGAAAAATTACATTGTTACTATTTTTTAATCTTTTATTTCCTTTTTTTTAATTTTTTAACTAATTAAAAGATTAAACGATGCTTATTATCTAGCTTAAGTAAATATTACTCTATATTGACTTTTTCAAAAATATTATAATTCTTCATCGTTTCTTTTTTTGTCCTTATGATTTTTATCATTTCATATTTTTTTCAAAATTTTAAGTAGTTTGATTTTTTTAGTTGAATATAAGAAGAGAATGAAGTTGAAATGATTAGAGTTATTAAAATTGTAAGATTGAGGGAGAAGTGTAGAATGAAAGAGCCAAAAAGAAGATAAAAGAGAAATTATAATACTCTCCCGGTCCTTAATATAAAATCCAATTCTTGAGTTGGTTTTGGTCATAAATATAATACTCATTTATTATATTTATTAATTTTTTCTAAATTATCCCTATAGATACTCCCTCAACCATAATCAAGTAAAAAAGTAGAGGAGGTATTAAGAAAGATTATAATGGTGTTTTAAGAAAAATGTATCACTTTTTTTATAATTAACTAACTTACTGAATTTTTTTAATCTAATTAAATTAATTAAATAAAATTTATATTAAGGACGGTCGTCTCCTCTCTTTAAAAATTGTTAGAGCCAATCCAGAGGAGAAGAGCAGCTCCACTTCCCTCCCCTCCCTCTGATAAAACTCCGCAGCAAATACAGTGTAGGAGAGTCTGCATTGTTCCTTTTTCCTTTCCCAGGTGCGCCTATCCGTTTTCCTTCACTACTCTTTTTTCTTTCTATTTTTCAATTCAATGGAGAGCTTCAACCCAACTCTTTCTCTTCCACGAGGCATGAGAGAAAGAAGCCGGTGAGTACGACGATGAACAAGGTCATGAACAGCGAAGATAAGGAAGGGTAGATGATGAGGAAGAAAGTGACAGAGTAGGAGAAGAAGGCGAAAGCCACCGAGGAAGAAAGTGGGTCCTCACATATTGAAGATCATTTCCTCTACAACCTTTTTCGAGGTGTCGTTGCCATTTCAACTTGGAATGACCACCTCGTCCATCAAACACTAGCATTTATATTCATAATCTTCTTTTCACTATTTCCTTTTCTCTTTTTTGGGTCTCTAATATCTCTTCGACTTCATTTCTAGGGTCGATATCTACTTCCTCCTTCCTTCGAGTTCAATCCTAGTGGCTCCAAATAACGTTTTGTTCGTCCAGTTCTATGGCCTTCTCTATGATGGATTTATTCACCATCTTCCAATTGACATCCTCTTCATTTTTCTCATCCTCATCTTCTTCCTCTTTTTCTCATCCTTTTCCTGCTACTGTCGGCGATATGGATTAATTTTAAACGTTGATTAAATCTGTCATAAGGAAAGCTGCATGTGTGGCATTTGGAAGTATGAGTAGTTTAAAGTGCGCGTGTGTATGTATATGGTTGGATGTGTTGTAGAATGTTAACTCTGTCTTTTGCCACTAAGTCAAGAGAACTGGAAAAAGTGTTGGATGGAATCTGTTATTTTTTTTCAATTGATTGATCTAAATTGACAAAGTGGTAATGTTTTCTTTTTCTTATGCATACTCTATGACCAATAATTTTTTATCAGGAAGAACAGGTGGAAGAGCACAAATCTCTGGCATCCAAATATTCATTTTTTCCGGCGAGGACCAACAAGAACAGGAAGAAGTAGCACCTACTTCTGACGGCAAGCCTTTGAGTTCTGGGCTGAGGCCTGAGAGACAAAGTTATTTGATGACTCAAAATAAATTATATATGATAAGAATTAAAGTATTAATTGTGAAGCGATTAAAAATTAATATAGACAAGTTTAAAATTCAGCTCATGACGAATATGGACTTGAAGTTTTCTTCAGTAAATAATGGTTCCGTCTCATGCCTCATCTCATGTAGAATTTTCAAGTGGTTTTATTTTTTTAGATAAAACAAGGATATCCTCGAATCATATTAGATTTAAGATTAAAATAGTCCTCCCAACAAATACGTTTTCCGAAATTCAAGCTTGTATTCTTCTCTTTATGAGGATGAGGCTGTTACCACCTCAACTAACAGCTTATTGGTCAAGTGGCTTTATTTTATCATGATCTATCACTATACTAATTTCATTCATTTAATATTATTTAAGTTAAAATTTGAGGAGTTTCCTTAATTTTATGATTTGCCCTTTTACCCCTTTACCCACCCCACTGTTCCATCCACACGGAATCGGGGATCCGGTCTCCCCACAGCTTTTTCATGGCCGATTGGCCGTAACCCACGGGCCTATACGAGGTACCATCCCATGTGGCTTCAGCACAGGTTCACGAGGTGTTAGGGGATTTTAATATTTTTGTAGAAAATAAATATAATTCCACGTACTTATACTTTTTTTTTTTTGAAAAAACTTTTTAAAAAATATAAAAAACATTAGAAAAATATTTATTTTGAAATATGAATTTTTGTTTTCTGGTTCTAGGCAGTGCCGTCGCCAGTCGGTCGGATCTGAATTCTGATGCAAGTACCAAGGCTAGAATAGAATAGAGCAATTAATTGTTGTATCAAAAGCCAATTTACATTGATGGACAAACCAAAAAGGGAGAATATCTTTCTCCCTCATTTTCATTCCTCGGTCAGAACAGAAAAGCAGGAAGAGTACGCATGTAAAGAAAGATCAACAATAGCGTGGACTTTCTCCGCCGTGAATGTGAACTAAAAATCAAAGCTTTGTTGCTTATTATTAGGTGAGCTTTGCGGAAAATCAATGCCCTTCATCATCTACTAACCTTGGCCGAGTAGTTTCTTAATCCGATTTGGCGAGCATTTGCAGATTTCTAATAGAAGAAAGGGTTTTGGGATATTTTTAAACAAAAAGATATCAGAAGAGAGACAGTTGAAGAACATGAATGAGACGTGTGATTATGACACCAAATATGAGCTGATGAACTGAGGACTGGAATTAGTGCAACAAACTGAAGTTGATTTGCTTGTTAATTGGACAGAGTTACCATAACTAGAGGTAAGAACTTCCCTTTCATTTTTTATTCATTTTGGACTGGTTTAGAAATATATATATATATATATAGAGAGAGAGAGAGAGAGAGAGGGAGGGAGAAAATTATGGTCTTGTTATAGTACTGTATGGTTCTATAATTGGTGTAATTTGGGTGTTGTTAGTTTGTATTGTGCTTCATGTAGATGTTGGGCAATATCGCTGGGGAATGAGGATATGCATTGTTACTGTATTCTGGTGCTGTGCCTAATTTTGGAGGCCATTTTGCTATATAGAATTATCTTGTACATTTTGGTCAAAGGGGGCTGTTTCTGTGAAACTTGAACAAATAGTATTTTGGTTATTTTGCATGTGCCCGAAATGACTCCCAAATTCCTTAAATCTTCTTTTTAATTAGGGAAATTAGGAGGATTTGATTAATATTAACTTCCTTATAGGATACTTAATTGTCATTTGCTCATCTTTTTATGGTCCTTTTCCAAAATTTAGGGAAATATTTATGATGCATTTCCAAAAATGTCCTTTTATGCAATTAACCCTTATTATGAAGTGTCCTCTTTGACTTTATTAGGGAGGTTAATCACTTTAAGTGTAGTTGTGGAATGTTTTAATATTTGCCTCAAGGCATTAACTATTTTCAGCTCTTTGATGCAATTATTGTACTTTTTTGGCTTCTTTAGCACAAAAATTTACCTCAGACGAGCAAGCCCTCCACGTCAAAAATGGCATCTTGGAATTCGGTCCCACTTCATGTGTCATACGAAGTTTTGGGTTGGTTGACTTTTGTTTGCTGGTCTATCAGTTTCTACCCTCAAGTTTACTTGAATTATCGTAGGAAAAGGTTCCAGCAAAATATATCAACTTCTTCCTTCGTTTATTATTATCTCACAAATACAGCTTTCTTGCTTTTACTCCTTTCCTTTTATCATTTTAATTCGCCTCATTCGTATGGGTGTTGGAAATGGTTATTTGATTTCAGTGTTGTGGGATTGAACTTCGATTTTGTGCTGTTGAATCTCACGAAGCACTCATCCTATATGTTTTACAATACATCTCTATACTTCAGCGCTACTGTTCAAAAGCAATACAAAGATAAGTACGGTCAAAATGAGGTTGGTTCCTTGTATAAGCAGCTCATAAATACTAATTCTTCAAAGCTTATAGCTTTGATATTTAGAAACCATATTAAATTCCATTTGTGTTTCAGATGATACCTGTAGCAGCAAATGATGTTGCTTTCTCATCTCATGCTGTTCTACTCACTGCAATTACCTTGTTCCAGATTGCAATCTATGAAGTATCATAATCTTTTTGATTGAGCTTTTTGTACTTTTAATTTTATTTTTGTTCTTTTAATTTTCGGGGTTATTGTTGAAATTTCTTATTCTAGTCTGTTATTGTAGCGTGGAAATCAGAAGTTGTCCAAAATAGCTTGTGGAATTGTGTTCATAACTTGGTTAGTTGTCACAATCTGCTTCTTCATAGCTTTGCCTGAACACCATTGGCTGTGGCTTCTCTCAATATTGAAGTATGTTATGCTTTCTCAACTAATTTTCTCCTATTTGAGCTGCCTTCGATAACATCGGTTCTCTACACTTAACTTCACAGATATGACATTACATGATTGAATGCCATGTGCACGAATGTTTATTTAGGATTGATCTCCTAATTAACTGTGTTGAAGTTAACCATCTTGCAGTGTGATTCAAGTTTGTATGACGACAATAAAATATATACCTCAGGTCAGGATTTATTTGATTTTGTATTCAATTTTGTATTCAGCTTCTCTTTATGGAAGTTGTGTTACAAGGAACATGTTTACCAAACTTTATGTTGAAAATCATATTTCTGATGATGAAAACCTGTATTCGATTTAGTGAGGATAACTTTATGGATCTCCCAATACCATTGTTCTTTATAAACAACAAATTCTTTAGATTATTGTTCACTGATAGATTCCATTTAATAACTTTTTTTTAGTGTCATTCTTGGCCTTTCTCCACCACCTTTCATACAACTAAAGACCATCTATTTAACTCTCTTCATTGATGCCCCCAACGGCCTTTTCTGCAAATGTTTGAACCACCTAAAATGATTTTCTGCAATTTTCTCCTCAGTAAATGCCATACCAACCTTTTCTTTTGATTCACCTAAAATTGCTTTAGCAACCTTCCTAACTCTTATGGATGTTTCATCCCACATGATTTTAATGCTTCCTTGCAACTCTCAATCATCTTCCTCCAATAGTTTTATTTATTTATTTATTTTTTTGATAAGTTCCAATCGTTTTATTCTGAGTTGTTTGTCAGCTTTTAGCAGCCAGAACTTGATACTAGGCTTTATAACTTGCTGACACTTCTGTTTTCGTATCTTATCAAGAACATCAAGGACCAAGACCTTAACTCTTAATATAAGGATTTCCCTTGGAATCACTTGGCAGTCCTTACATAATCTTCTATTTAGATTCCATACTAAAAAGAAATCAATCTGCAACCTTGAGGCTCCACTCTTATATATATGATCTACGCTCCTCCTACTTCTTAAAGTGTTGACAATCCTTAAATCATATGCCAATTCAAAATCAAGATTGAATTACCCTTCTTTATTAAGTTCCTTAGAACCAAAATCACCATGAGCTCTTGTATAAGGTCTTGCATCCTTCTTGACATGGCTCTCAATGTCTCCATTGATGAAAATCTTTTCATCTTGTCAGATGCCTTGAGCGAACCTCTCCGCATCTTCTTAAAACTTTTCCTTAAGATATCCTTTTGTCCTTGCTTAAGGTGCATAGCCACTTATGATGTTCATAGTATCATGCACAAAATCATTCTTAAGGATGAGATCTCATCCTCAATCTTTTTTGCTTCCATCACATTCTTCTTCCAATTCTTGTCAATGATAATACCAACCCCATTCCTTGCTTTTACTTTCCCTATGCACCAAGTTTAAATCTTGCAGAGTAAAGCTCCTTAGTCTTTTCTCAAACCCATTTAGTTTCTTGAAGGCAATATGATAATTCTTCTCTGAATCATGGCCGCTTCTGCATAGATTTATGTGTCAAAAGTGCTAATATTCCAAATACCAAATTTGATCTTGCTCTTCCGGACTAAATTCTCTACCCATTTCTGTTCTTGTAAATGTGGGAGCTTTTGCTCATTTAACATTACATTTGGGTGTAGAAGCTCTAGCTCATTTGATGCTGTACTTAGCCATACAATGCATTACTTTCAGATAACAACCCAACATTAGCACAATATCATCTTTGATCTGTGTCATGGATGATTCTATGGAGTTTTATGTTGTTTGTCAAGGACCTAAGGCAGCCTATATCCTTTATTCAAGTTGGAACTGGCTATAAAACACAAGCAAAGTTTGAAAATCACATGTCTAACCTGATCCAAATACCCAGTCTGCTTTAGAACCCTTTTTGTACTTTGCTTTGATTTGTTTGAAGGTTGTTCTCATTCTTTTAGCCGGGGACTACTATTGACATATAACGTATTGGCCATGGCCATTTCCACCTGTGATTAATAAGTCATGAATGTAGGCTGTCATGAACTTCCTGAGAAAAAGTACAGAAGGCTGGAGCATTGGGAACATTCTGCTTGATTTTTCTGGAAGCATTGGAAACTATGCTCAAATGCTCATGCAGTCAATAGATCAAGGTTTCCATTGACATCTGCTTTAGTTATAAAGCATGAACCTTTCTGAGTTTATAATATATTAATGACAAAATTTCTAATCTTAGGTTCTTGGATGAACTTCTATGGAAATATAGGAAAAGTAATGCTATCTTTGGTACGGATTGTCCTCTCACTGTAACTTATACGGAATGACTATAAAGTGTTGATGTTGATGTATTTTGGCAATTGTAGATTTCTGTATTCTTTGACATTCTGTTCATGATCCAACATTATGCGCTATATTGGCACAACAAAGGCCCAGAGGCAAAGATTGCTCCTGAAGTTGACATCACCAATTCTATTGATAGACCAATGGTAAGAATTTCTACTGTCTAGTATGTAGTGGTTAAGTCATCTTTGAATGAAATCATTCTCCAGAGATGTTAACACATAGATCTAAGAAAAGTTTTAGAACGGTATGTCTGTAGTAATAATTTAGGGATTGTTCCCATGAATTATTTGTGTGTCTCAGAGGAGACTACCAAAGTGATTGAGCAAGGTTGAAATGAACCTATTTTAATGAAGATTACAGAAAAAATGTTACAAAAATGGCAGCAAAGTTGGTATCATTTGAGGCAGTAGAATTTAGTGCCCAAAATACGTAGCCATACAAGCGTTTGATATATCTTTCAAACATGCACCCATATCCTTAAACTTTTAATGCTATCAGCTTTCATGAGATTCTAATTACATTGCCTTTCTACTAAATTTTGTCAGAATGAGGGTAACTTGATATTTTGACGTTTTTTTGTTCAGAGGAAAAGGGCCTAAGGTATCTTCTTCCCTAATGTTTTAGACCCAGTATCTAAGACATATACCAATAGCTCTCAGAAAATGAGGTTTTTTAGACTGTGCTCGTGGGAAGATATAGCATCAGCAAACTTGGTTTAACTCACTAGAATTTCCAAGTGACATGACTAGCATGCTTTGAGTGTGGTATGGACATGGTTAATGCTAGGGCACTAATTCCATGATCTATAGTTTTCAGATAGAAAGTTAAAGAGCATTTCTAATGGAACATGAATGTTCACTAAATAACATGCAAATATCTGTATGCATTGACATAAATTATGTTGATGACTTTCCATATTTAGTGATATTTGATATAATTTTTTGGGGTTGTTTGGGCAATCATCATTACATTTTTGGGATATTTTGATTTGATTCATTTTCTAAAGATTGGGCTGAATGTACCTTTATGAATTATTGGTAAATACAGATAAAATTGGGTAAAAATCGGTTTATGGCAAGCAAATATTCTTTTTGATTGGTTTTCATATGGTGATTTTAGGAACTACTATTGGAGGAAGTGGAGATGGAAGAAATTGAGAAGTGGCCTCTAGTGTCATAGCACTGGCATTGCGATGCCGCAGCTCAATACCAACAGGACAATGATCGTGCTCTCTAGTGCGGTAGCACTGAACTCGTGGTGTTGTGGTACCATCACGGACCAAAAATGCACTTGAGTAACCACTTGAATACAATAATCACCACTAACATTGACCATACTTTAGGGTTGTTTCCCTGTCGTAGCTAAGTTAATTTCCACTTGAACTTTGTTCCTCGTTTGTCTTCCTCAAATTAAGCAAATGTGTTAAGTTAGTGCTCAATTGGGTTGTTGACTTACTCTTGATGGGAATGACACTCTACCTGTCACTTTATTATTTGATATAGCCTGTGTACTTGCAGAAATTAGGTTTAACACATTTTTGGCTGATCATATGTTTTCAAGGTGGAAGACAGATATGCCTTTTCCTTGTTCTTTGTTGTTTTCTTACGGTATTAGTATTATTTTTGGTGAAATGTCTTCCAATTTTATTTATACAGTTATTGAGGTTGTTAGTTGAGGAATACTGGCTAGTGAAAAGCTTAAACCAGAGGTCAACGATGTAACCTTGCAAATACTTCTCATTAGCTGACAAGTCAAAATGGCCATGCGCTCTCCAGTCTCTCTACATCAAAGAGCTTCCCTTTTAGTTGCCGCTATAGCATGATTAGTTTCAGGAGTTAATATCAGCCCTTCAGACCTGGCAAACAGTAGGAACCCTTCAAGAGCTATCCAATAACGGTCTGGATTAGTAAAACATTAGTGAACACACTTCTCAGGCACTATTTGGCATTGGCATTTTCTGCTGCAACCTCTACAGTTTCTGATATAGCTATTCGTATTCCGGGGCTTGATGGATCCTTTTCGAGGATTCTTTCACCTGCCTCAGTGTTTGTGGTTGGAGATGGGAGTACTTGCACCCCAAGTTTGCATTATCCATCTCTGGTATGGTTTCAGATCAAAAGATACACGAGCTTTTTTGTTTGTCCTGCCATGGATCGAGGCATCAAGTGTCAACAATGCACAAAAGATTATCTCGATAGCTTTATAATTTGAGCAAGTGATGTTTGTTTGTTTATACTTGGGGTTCGCAGGTTTGTGTATATTCAAAGAGATGGGAGTTTAGGCATGGAGAGGGAAGAGTAATTTAGCTTGAAAATTTTTATAGACCTTTTCATAACATTTAAACTTAGCAGTAGAAATGTTTATGGCATGGGATAATAGCTTTTTATGATCTGGTGATTTAGAGTGTCATCATTGATAACAAATTCTTACTTACAATTAAAGTTTTTTTTATTTATTAAAAAAAATGAAGTTTTGGGACAAGATCTGATGACGTGTCCTGTGAAAGATCATGTTAGAGATTACAATAAAAGTATTCGTGGACCATCATCTATCAGTTTATGTTTGTTGAAATGGTTCTTGACAAAAAGCATGTAGTCACTTTGAATAGAATTTTTATTATGTTGAATATTAACAAGAATTGTAATTCGAGAATCAGAGATTCATTCTACTTTCCTAGCAGAGGCACAAGGAAAAATTTTACAGTACTAATAGGACCTTCACAACTCTCCACTTTTTTTTTTTTTTTTAATTGAACATGTCCTATTTAAACTCCGCCTATATTGTATAGCCAGTCCCAAATCCGGATAAAGGAGGAGGGTTGTGTTAGGCCCTCGACAGCCAACGTAAAA